ATGCTCGACAACACCCCGTCCGACTCCAAATGGCCTTCGAAACGCAAGGGCCAGCTATCAGAAAAAGATGAGAAGAAGAGTGGGGGAAGCTCAGGCGGCTTCGGCGTCGGCGCGTTCACATCAGCACATGCCGGCCGCTTCAACGACCTTGCTCAGAGGTTTGGACGCAAGATGACCGAATCACCACGAGCAGAAGCACGAAAGAAGCGCACCATCCACATTCCTGCACCACCTCCGGTTGTGCGAAGGTCCGCATCTGCTGCACGTGGAGACCGCAACTCGCGGGCCTATGTACGAGTGCAGACTCCGCCTCCAGTACCAGTCATCGCATCACCGGTCAGCAGGACAGACACCACCAGTGCTGACTCGACTGTATACACAGTCCGCTATCATCCCATAAGCGATACACCTGTGAATCCCCGGCACGCACCGGCAGACGATCGACCAGGAAATCGTGAAGCACAGCCACAAACACAAGACTCATCACAGGAACCTCGGGCTCAACCAGCTGATCCTGAGGATCCTGAAAAGGGAGGAGAACTGGAACCTGTTACCAGCCGGAGTAGATTCCAATGGCAAGCTTTAGGAAACCCATTCCGACGAAAAGGACGGACCCCGCCAAAGGAACTCCAGAGGGGGCAGGTCATCGAACCACTCGCGGTAGACGACGTCGCAGCCAACATACCCCCTCGCAACTACAACGGGCTAGCTCTAGCCGATCGGCTGGGAACCTTTGCTGCACAGCAAGGCGAGAAGCTCAGGTCGAAGAAGAAACCTGGGTCACAGCACGAAACGACTCTGCCTGTCACGATCATTCCAGCTCAACCTCGGGGCCAAACCTGGTCTCCAGACATCATCCGCCAGCAGCAACAAGCTCAACAGGACGAGTCCTCTGCCAGTGCGGGTACGCAGCAAGCGAGTGCGCCAACTCCGAGCGAACATGATCAATCTCATGGAGGGACTAATTCAAGCGAGGTCGTCAACCTGTCGGCCTCGCCAAACTCCACACGCACTCCCCGTATCCGGTTCTCGCCGGCAGCCCCGCTTGGCCGCCAACACAACACTGGTGGTCTTGGGACAGAGTTGCGACAACCGCCGTCTGCACCGAGTTCACCGTTGCCACAAGACGAGTCGACTTCAACCATCGACTTTAGCAGGCCCGAAAACCACACTCGGACAGATCACAACAGGTAGCTTGTCGGCGCACCATCTTCTCTCGCATGTTTCTGTTTATATTTCGAACGTTGATAACACGTATATACCCCCACATTGAACGGCGCATTGGTGGCATGGATTGAGGACAGTGGAAACCCCACACAGCATTGGCATGGAATGGCGCAATTGGAACTTAAAAAATCTTTGGTGTTTGTATGAGGGATGGATACCCGCCGGCCATAAGGTCAGGCTCTTTGATTTAGGTGGAATGGCGCAAGCCTGCGACGACAGGGGGAGCAGTGGATACTGCGATCTATTAAGCGCTATAGCATGCACAGCAAAATATCAATAAATCAGTAAATCATACATTCGCACTTGTCAGTAACTCCTACGTTTACAGTTGTCCAAAGTCAAGCAGGTGTGCCAAGGCATTGATAAGGCTGTGACGATCTGGTAGGGCATGGGACGGGCGTTAGTGGAGCCCGGTTCCTTGCACCGCCGCATCATAGCTCCATGTTATCATCGCGTGTAGCACCTCCAGTCTAAGCTGTGGCCCTGCATTCTGTCCATCGACGACGTGCAGCTTAGAAATAATTAGTCGGCTGCGCATCTTCTCCAGACGACAATGTCTTTATTCGGTGACGATGACCCGCCGCAGCGCGCGAAGCAGTCATCGTCGCTCTTCGATGACGATCCCAAGCCCGCGGGCAAGACGGGCAACAGCTTGTTCGCAGACGACCTCGACGCCAACGACTCGCCCTGGGGCTTCCCCACGCCCAAGAAAGCCGGACGCGAAGCTCTCGTCAAGTCGCTGCTGCCTGCCTCGGACGTGCCCGACTCGTACATTGACGCTTTCGACGCACTGCTAGATGCTGGCGACCGCGAAGGCAATGGGGTCAGCGTCGAGGGTGTCAAGAAGCTACTGGCCGAGAGCGACATCCCCGGTCACGCGCAGTCCAAGATCCTCGAGATTGTGCTACCGTCTGGTGGCAGCGCCGAACTGGGCAGGAACGAGTTCAATGTTGTCTTCGCCCTGATTGGGTTGGCGCAAGAGCATGAGGACATCACCCTAGACAGCGTCGACGAGAGGAAAAGGAGTGAGTGTTAGCATCGTCGCGCATACCGCGAAAGAACGATATTGACGCCCCGCCAGATCTTCCCGTCCCAACCGTGACGCTGCCACAGTCCACCAAGGCCCGCGAACCATCACCTCCTCCCCAACAAGCCCAGCCCCCGACCCCTCCCGCGCCGCAACGCCAGCCGTCTGCGCAACAACCGTCTCCTTCAAGCAAGTCGAGCGCGCCTATGCGCAAGCAATCCTTTGGCGACCCAGAGGCGGATCCTTGGGGCAGCCCTGACCTGCACAGAGGCCACAGCCACGCGAGCTATACAAGCTCCCAACCGCACACCAACGGCTCGAGCTTACCCCCAACCGCACGAACGACGAGTCAGTTTACAACACAATCGACCGCCGCTTCCTCCAACATCCCGCAGCCCGTCCAGCCAAGTTCTTTGAGCAGTGAAGGTGGCTGGGGCGGATACAATGGCGGAGCGAGCCAGCCATTCGCTGCCCCTGGCTTGGGCGAAGAAGGCTTTGGCGCACCCGCAGGAGGAGAGGGTGGCTCCAATGCGACACCAGAGTTGGGCAGATCCATTGGGCGACTGAATCCAGGCGGCAGTGGGAACGAAGAGGTCATTACCATTACTGCGCTCTCAGAGAAAGAGGGCATGTTCATGTTCCAGCACCGCAACTACGAAGTTGCCAGCTCGAAACGCACCACAAAGGTCGTGCGCCGATACAGTGATTTCGTCTGGCTGCTGGACTGTTTGCACAAGCGGTATCCCTTCAGACAATTGCCATTGTTGCCCCCAAAGAGGGTCGGTAGTAAGTACTCATCCTGCTGTAGCCTTGATACGTATTGAGATTTCTTAGTCAACGGCAACCCAATAGCTGCAGATGCCACTTTCCTCGAGAAGCGAAGAAAGGGCCTTGCGCGCTTCACCAACGCGCTCGTACGGCATCCAGTTCTGAACCAGGAGCAGCTGGTAGTCATGTTCCTGACAGTACCCACGGTAGGTTTAATATGTTTGGAGACTGCCTAGCATGCACTAATTGGAACAGGAACTCGCAGTATGGCGCAAACAAGCCAACCTCTCCGTTCAGGAAGAATTCACCGGCAAACCCCTACCACCGGATCTCGAAGACTCCCTCCCGAAGACCCTCCCTGAGCTCTTTGACACCGTCCGATCTGGCGTCCGACGCAGCGCAGAAACCTACATCACCCTCTGCAGCATGATGGAGCGCCTCTCCCGCCGAAACGAAGGAATGGCAGCCGAATACGCACGTTTCTCCTCTGCTCTCAGCGGACTCACAGAGTCAAGTCAAGAAACATACGCAGTCGACACAAACGACGTGCCATTGTTGAACGAGGGCATGAACGCTACAGCGCGACACCTCGACTCCAGCAGACAATTGCTAGAAGACGAATCAAGAGGATGGGAAGAAGGTGTTCTCGAAGACCTGAAGAGACAGAGAGACACTCTAGTCAGCGTACGCGACATGTTCGACCGCCGAGACAAGTACGCCCGCGACAACATCCCCCAACTGGAAAAGCGCATCGCAAACAACGAAACCAAGCTCCACAACATCCGCCAGAAACCCGCCGAGCAGATCAAGCCCGGTGAGGCGGAGAAGGTGGAGGATGCCATTTTCAAGGTTAGTTTCCAATCCCCTTTATACAATGAGGTCATCTTCTAACGCGTAATACTAGGACAAGGAATCCATCGTCCAACAACACGCCCGCGGCGTCTTCATCCAGGAATGCATCCGCGACGAACTACTCTTCTTCCAAAAGTCGCAATACCACGTTAGCAGACTGCATCAGGAGTGGGCGCAGGAACGTGTCAAGTATGCGGAGCTGCAGGCGGATAACTGGCGGGCGTTGAGTGAAGAGGTGGAGAGTATGCCCCAGGCGGAGTAAGCAACACGTGTGTTTGTGGAATTAAGAGAAGGGGAGATAATGTCTCCTTGTCCGTTTCTTCATGGCAATCAAGGGCGATGAATGAAAGGGCATAGCGGTGATGGATGGGTGAATGACGGATGCTCGTGCTCTCGTCTTCTTGAACAGTTGGTTGTCGGATTGTCATGAGCCAAGGTTGTAATTTGTACATGTCTCTTACGTCTTGTTTTGTTGCTTTCGTTCGCGCGCATTTGATATCAAGAGGTCGACGTATATACCTGTGTATGAATGAGATTGGATGCTTCTGCCTTGTCCTCAACGTATATCTGCTGTTCGCTTGTGCTGGCAATATTGTATCATCTGCTACTTGACGGGTTCTGTGAGATGACGAGGAAGATGAGCGCTTGCCCTGTCCATGACTGTGGTATAGTAGGACTAAGAACAAAACTGGGCTGTCGATGATGAGATATCTTGTCGGGGTGACGAGCCTTGGGTCCCAGCTGTCGATGACAGCCTGCATCATGTGTGCTGAGTTCGAAAGACGCCCCTCTGTTACATCAGTGCACCAATAATCCATGTCTTCACACCACGAGTAAGAGCCGCATTGTGAATTCAGGATTGATTTCTCATTGCATGCAAGGCCGGGTATCCCCCATTGCCCGTAAACACAGTATGAGGAAATACGCCATGCAGAACCATCCCCACCCGACTACAAAGCCCACTCTCTCAGCTTGCTTTTCCTTTTATCTCAGACCCATATCCGTCCTCTTGCTTGATCGTGTGGGGCGGTCGGGTCGAGGTAACATTGTTGTATCGTATCGTCAGGTAATCATCGTCACATGCGCCTTCTACTCCAGCCCTCGAAGCGTACGGTAGAGAGAAAATCTATCGGTGCTGTTGCGATGTGAGTATGCGTACATCATTGTAGAAGTAAGGTACAGAAGACGTACCTTGACGAAGCCAATGTCGGAGCTCTTCTCGCGGAAGCACTGACGGCAGATGTTGAGGCCGTACTTGCGGATCAGACCAGCGGGGTGGGTGCAGACGCGGCTGTGAGTACTGTGTTAGCCATCGCGTACTGGTATCCTGGCCCGTTGCATCAGGTGCATCCAATCCCTCCCCTCGCGCAGACCAACACGGTGCGCTCGCCCTGGCCCCAGCCGCGTATATAATCGGCGCCTCTTCCCCCTCCTCCATCTAGTGTATCGAAATTTTGGATTCAAACGTACCACTCGCGGGAGCCCTTGCCGTAAGTCCTAGGGCGCGAATACCAGACCGACTCGTGAGACATGATGTGTGGTTGGAGGGTTTTGGACGGGGGATTGTCGCTTGCTATTTCCAAGTCAGTTGAAATTGTACATTTACGAAAGCCTCTGCGACGGCTTCAAAAAGGGCTACTGACAGTATTGACTTGTTGTCGGCGGTGTTGAATCGGGCGTGCGTAGGCTTGTCGGGGTCACGATGCTCGACCGTCGAAATCGAATATTGTGTGGGGTGGTCTGTGCTGGCCGCTAACCTTGCCGGCGCCACCGCCGCGGGGGCAGCCCTCAGAACTGATCGCGACGTTTCGCTGTGCCAAGAGATCGCCATAATCCACGGTTTTACTGCCAAAGATGCCGCATGCGGTAGTTTCACTAGTAAAAAGTGGGGTTTGCGAGCTGATCAGATCTGTGACCGCTAGATGCTGTATCGCCGGAGAGCGGCTGCTTGCTTCTGCACGTGCGCTCTTGTGCTCTTTGGGACAGAGCTTGGAGTCAAGAGCGTACGATAGGGACTGAAGCACTTTTACTTGTGTAATGCACTAGAAACCCCCAGGATAAGTTCGACAATAGTATACACATGAAGAACCTAGAAGATATAATGACATTTGCACAGTGGTGTCTCCCTGCACATACCACGTCACCATCGAACTGCAATCCACTGCTACCGCAACGTTCATACACAATCATATCGTACAGGTTAGGATTTCGACCTCCAAGCGCCGATCAAATGTCTACTCCCGACGGTGACCCAAGTTGACCACCAGCGTGCCACTCCTGCTCCTATTCACTGGTCAGTTTCGGTAGGCCCTTCGCTCTTGTTGGCTGAGCAACTTACTCTACTTTGTGGAATCTTATCCTTCCGCCATTATCCAAGGTGGTCGGGCTGTATTCATCGGCCTTGAGGGGTGCCCTATATATAGGAGGAGAAGGCTCCACCCGTTTTTCCTCATCCAGTGACGACGACACTGTTTTGTGATATCTGATCTTCGCCCCGCTTTCAAGGCTCTTCGTCTTGTATTTGCTGGGGAGGGGTGCGCCTTCCTCTAACAAAGTGATCGCTGGGTTGTGGATACGGGGTGGATTTGATCGCTGATCTGTAGCCGGTGTGTCGTTATTTGTAGCCGACGTGCGCCCTTTTGTGAGACGCTGCTCTTCGGCTGTGAGAAGCTCCATCTCCCGGTCAAGAGCCTCGATCTCTTCTTGCATGGCCCTCCGCTTTTCGCGGTTTGCTTGCTGCCTTTTCCACTCGTCGCTTTCTTCGCCTTTTCTGACATTGAAATCAAGAGGTTGATCAAAGGGGTCGATGGGTCCGCCGAGCAGCCAGTTGGCTCTGTGCTTCTCCTCCTCTAGCATCGCTGCAAACTTCTTCCTGGTCTCCTCAAAATGTGGTCTGTTCCAGTAGTCCTTTCCATAATTCGCCCGCAAATCACGATGAAGGTCACCAACAAGGTACAGACTACCTGTCAGGACGATCGGTCCTTCGGGTTCTCGAAGGTATTTTGCTGTACAAAGCGCTCGGAGCGGCCCGCCTTCTTCCACAGCTAGCCCTGTGATAGTGGGCTCGATCGATTTTGCTATGGCGAGGAGTCGTTTTGGATGCATTGGTTTCACCCAAGGCATACCATCCACCGGACCAAAGGATGTAGTGACGACGTTGTCTCCTCGGTGTAGTATGTTTCTCAGGAATTTATGTGCATCTTTCCCATCGGTCATTGCAAGTACCCATGTGATAGGCCATCCCCTGCGTGGCCTTTGAACACCAGGAACCTTCTTCCTTACCCGCAGATTCCGTCCGACGTGGCCACTCAGCAGTGTGGCAGCGTCAGCGTTATGAGCTCCATCTACCAGGATGAACTCTCCTTTTTGACTGACTCCAGTCGTGCCATCCGTGCTTGGCCCACCAAAGATAGGCGGTACTCGAACCGGCTCTAGTCGTCCTGGGTATGGAATGTTCCTTGCGCCGTGCAAGGTTTGTTGCATCACAAACGGTTTCATCTCTTTGCCGAGGCTCTCCATTGCTGCCATCGTAGCCCTTGCTGCGAGGACAATATTTTCTCGTTGATCGGTCGGTTTTGGTGGCCGGTCTTCGTTCGCAAACAGCATCTTCGAAAAGCCCGGGGGGTCATATTCCAAACAAGGTCCTGCCCCAATGCTGCGAGCATGTTCCTCAATGACCTCTTTGACGTTTCCCTCATTTTTAGGATTGACAAGGTAGGGCACATCCGGCCTGAGGATGCCAGCTTTGTGGAGTGCGATCTCTTCTAGGGTATCACCTAAAAAGCCTTCGTGGTCTCGCGCTATCTTTGCAATGACTGAAACCGCTTGGTTGTTCAATATATTGGTAGCGTCGAGCTTTCCGCCCATGCCCACTTCAACGATGCCAATGTCAATTTTGGCTTCGTTGAAGATGTGGAAAGCAGTGGCGGTCAATATTTCGAAATTTGAAGCACTGATGCCATCTCTTATACTCAGGTCCAGATAGTGCTTCTCGATCTTGCGAAAGAGGGCCTCTTCCACGGGCTTATGGTTGATGCTTATACAGTCCCATCTGGAAAAGTTAGATGAGAACTAGCTCACGTGACAGCGTGCGTACCTGTCTATGAGATGTGGAGATGTGAATTTGCCAATTGTGAGTCGCTTGGAAAGGAGCCTCGAGGCATAGTGGCAAATGGATCCTTTGCCGTTTGTGCCAGCGACATGTATCGATTTCCACGGAAAGTGGACATTCTTCAGAAGCAGACTGATCCGTTCCAAGCCAGGCTGGATCATGACCACGAGACGAGTAGTTTACAGTAGCATAGGCAACTATGGGTCCAGGCAGACGCGGAATGTTCTGAAACGATGTACCTGCAGGTTAAGTTGACTCATTGGGGCGAGTGGACCAAAAGCTGCGGACAGGTGCGACCTTGCTGCATTGGGTAACTGAGGCTTGGCGATCGCGGTCGCGCCTGGCGAAGACGATGGGTCGTTTGCTGTGGGAACATGGAACTGCGATACACAGTAAAGTGAAGCTGAGACAAGCTATTCAGAGGTGATAATCTAGACCAAAGACGTTTGCTATATGAATGTTGGGAGACAAGTGTCAGCGCTGTCATCCCACTTGAAGTTCTGCGCCTCCCCCGGACCCTTCAGCCTCACTGTCCTGGTTTAGGCGGCTGCGACGTGCGCCGCTCTGCCGCCCTAGTTCCTTCTCCGACCCATCCCATTAGCATCATCCGGCGCGTCACCATCAACACCGCACCTCACCCATCTTTTTTGGAACGAAGCAGATCACACATTTGGCGCAATGGGTATCCCGATCGGATGGAACATTAATCGCGAAGAAGACGCGAAGAAAGACGCACTGAGGGCTGACATTGCCGGCTCACGCTCACCCATCCGCCGCCGCGTCAGACCCAACAGGTCACCGCGCCCTCACAGCGCCCTCGACACGGATTTCCTCATCTCCGGTCCGCATATTGAATGGATTCCTCGCTCGTCGCATCGCGCGCGTCTGGCACCGCCACCCGTCCCCGAAGTGTCGAGGACCGAATACCGCAGCAACGAGCCTTCGAGACACCCACCTACTCTACAACGCGACGAGAGCAGCGTGCGCCGATCGCGCAATCGCCTCGATGGCTACATGCGCGCGTATGAGACGCGCGCGACTCCCGACCATGACCGCCCCTTGCCCGCTTTCACCCCGGGATTTGCGCCAGCGGCAGCGTCGCGAACGCCCGAAACGGAAGCACAACGCGATGCGCAAGACCCATTTTCACGCCTGCGCGAATACAGATCATACCGTCGCACTACCAGACGATCAACGCGTTCTCAGAGCCCCCGTGCTGACCGATCGACGCGAGGCGATAGTGTGAATGCGCCCGAGGAGAGCCACGAGACAGGCGAGAATCACGCTGTAGCATTTCCTCCGCTGCGTAGAATGGGTCGCCGCACCATTGCTGACGGACCGCTACCTGCCAGCTCTCTGCGCGAGTCCTGGAGTCCAGCTGGTGCGCTGGATGGCTTAGGCGACCGGAATCGCAGCGTCAGTCCCTTTGAAGATCAGTTGCAATGGGACAGCTTCCTCACCACCGTCGTGGACGACCCCGTCGCACCAAGTGCGGGGTCATCATTCGCATCAGCCGCAGCCGCAGCCTCATTCACAAATTCGCATCCCAGCTCACGAGCAGGAAGTGCCAACTCGGCCGCATCGTCGCATACCCACCTTACAGTGCCATCACGACGTCCTTCCCCTCCACAAAACGAGCAATTCATGCGGGCATGCGATACCTCGGAGGACGACTCAGCCTCCGACACCGAAGAAGAAGAGATGGACGTACGCGGCAGCATACGCCGTCGTACCGGCACAGAGGCCCGCAGGAACCGCTTGAACATTTCAGACTCGACCGCCCCTCGCCGAAGAATGCGCCCATCGTACTTCTCCAGCGAACCTCCTGCGCGCGATACCGAACGCTACGGACTCCGCGTAATCGACCGATCCCGCGACGCCAGCGAGGTCGTTCACAGCTTCTACAACTCCGGCATCTGGCGGGACGCCGAGACGGAAGCGCCGCAGAGACCGCAAATCCCCCAGCTCGATGGACCAGCAGAGGAATCCGTGAGCGCCAATGACTACGAGGGTATGCCTCCACTCATACCCGCGGAGTCGCCGCAACCGCCACCACTCGATCAGGAGCTCCGTGATGCGCGGTCGTTGCTGGAGCGTCTCGCGCGCAGGGAAGATGTCAGTGACGACTTTTGGGCATCGGTTGGCTTGACGCGATCTTTTGCTGACCCCGTCGAGCGCTTCCAGGAACTTGAGCGATTTTGATCTGGCTTGTTGCTTCTGTATCCTTAGGTTGGCTTGGCTGGTCCCGCCACTTTGGTTGTTTCTCTTCTGCTGCTATCATGCTGTTTGCGCTGTATTCATTCACCGATTGGCTTTTAGCCGCTTAATGCTCGTCTTACGAAAAGTTATGGTAGTAAGGACGACGACCTGTTTAGATCGATTAGATCGAGCTTACGTCAACGACTCCTGGATAGAGATATTTGTATCTTTACATAGCTAGTTAACATCCCCCGAAGAAGGGACAGAATACAAAAAAGCTCAGCCAGCACATACGCAAATCACTCATCACTTCTACCCACGTGCTCCGTGATGTACATATTGCAAGAAGTTGAATTCATATCGGATGCTAGACTCCTAAGTGGTATGCAACCGTCCCAACGCTCACGTGTGGTATCGAAAATTCCCAGTATAACGCCATGCTCCCAGTCTTGTGAATCGCTCCTCATTCTGCTGTGCGCTCGATTTGCAGGGCAACGAGCTTCTCGGTGTTCTTCAGCCACCTCTCTGCGAATACTTGATCGGTAAAGCGCTCCGCTGACCGGCGAGCCCGCTTTCGCATGTCCAGCGTGTCTTCGGGGGAAAGTGTGAGGGCTTTGCGGAAGCCGTCGGCGTACTGTTCTGCGGTTGTAGCATGGAAGCCTGGTGAAGGGTTAGTAGTGTTCTGAATGTGGTATTGCGAAGTGCTTAGACTTACCAGTAGGTTTTCCGTCGACCTCAATCACAATGTCCAGCTTGGGCCCACCAGAGTTGTTGACTACAGAGATCATGCCAGCAGCTTGGTATTCCACCACTCCAATTCCGAAATGCTCATTCCACATGGCGTTCACTCCCACACTGGCTTTGCGCATCCACTCGAGCATCTGCGGCCACGGCGCATCGCAGATGAACTCGACGTTGTCCTTGATATGTAGCTCGTGTGCTAGGAGCCTCAGTTCGTAGACGCGCTTCGCATCGTCATGCGAGTTTCGTACTGAACCTATCAGAACGAGCTTCGGGGTATCGTTGGGGTACGCTGGGAGGTCGGGTTTGGAGTGCAGGAAGGATGCAAAGGCCTCGAGGATCAGTCGGTGGTTCTTTTCTGGTCGGAACTGCGCGATGTAGAGGAGGTAGGGGCCGCGGTCTTTCTCGCTAGACTCAGAGACTGGAACGGCTTCTATGACTTCTTCGACTGCGACGGGCGGGAAGACGACGTCGATGTCGATTGCCTTGCTTCGTTTGATACGGTATGGTTCCCAGAGAGACTTGATGTGACTTTGCGTCCATGTAGAGTTGGTCATTACTACGTCAATGGTGCTGCCGACTTTGCTGTATAACTTAGCAAAGAGTTGCCAGTACTTCTTCTTTGCTATGCCTCGATATCCTGCGCCTGTTCCTGCATTTATGCCCTGGCCTCCAACCTGTAGCGAATCTAGCATGTCGGTGGAAATAGTCGGATAGTGTACGTATGCGCCGGTCGGCACGGTCGGGAAGAGGAAGGACGATAGGCCGAGGGCGAAGGCGTAACCCATGGTGTCGATGAATATGTCGGGCACGAGAAGACTGAAGGCATCATAGGCGAGAATGAGAGAGCCGAGAGATTGGCCCAGTAGTGTGAATCGCGGCCATGTGCTCGCGAGTACCCAGTCGCGAGTCGTAAGGTAGAGGAAGTGGACAGTCGGCGGGTATAGTTGGATGTTGAAGCGGTCTTTGACACGCTTCAAAATGGCGGCTTTGTCGACGTCGTGGTCGCCAGTGTAGACTATGCAAGTAGCTTTTGGCCAGCGCTTCTGGTTTGCTCGGATCGCAGCCCAAAGGACTCGTTCGCCGCCGCCTCCTGCATTACTATAAGAACAGCCTGTCAGCGACAACTCTTAGTCCAAGAGCATGCTATTCCTACCAGAAAGGGTGGAAGAAGCCCACTATGCCGTCCCATTCGCTATCTGCCGGTCCATCCTTCACTGCACTGCCAGGAGGTATATTCCCGACCTGTTCCCAGTCATCGTACTCTCTCTTCTTGTTCTTTTGCTGCGCCTCGAATGTCTTGGTCTCGCTTGCTACCCTAGCCAGTAGTAACTCTCGTCGTGTACGGGAGGATCGTCGGAGATGTTGTCCCACTATTTCCGCAGCGAAGCGCAGGGTCTTGGGAAGAAGGACGGTAGCCAAAAGTGCGGGTAGCAGTAGCGAGAGGAAGATGGGCAAGAGACCCATCGTGGAACAACGCCGGACGGAGGCACAGTGGGGAGAGGCAGACAGCGAAGACTCATTCAGCCATGGGCAAATGTTTGGGCAAAGCGACAGCTGTTCAGGTGGGATGACATCGGTTCGTTCCTGGCGCCGGCCCGAGAGCGTGGGACCCTGACGCGCTAGTGGGAGCCTCTTCCTCTCGGGAATCGGACATTTTGATATCCAGCTGCAACACCAAAATTACAGCAAGATGCTGTCGTCGCGCCTCCTGCGGCAGCCAGCATGCCAATTGCTTCCGAGAATCTCCACCACGTCTACATCTTCGATATGCCGACCATCGGCTCGCGCCTTCCACGCTTCGACCCCGCGACAGGATCCCCTCGTCGATGCCATCCTGTACCTTCCCCACGAGCTGATGTCGCTCGTCCACACCGCCGTACCATGGTATGCCGCCATACCAATCACCGCCTTCATCACCCGCGGTCTTCTTGTTACGACATTCGGAACTCGGTCGCGCGCTCTCGCGGCCCGATACATTGGTCTCCAACCGCTCCGAGAAGCACTTGCTTACAAGAAACGTGACGAGGTATTGAAGCGCGGCGGTTTCAGAACGATAAAACAGGGCATAGTAACTGCGAGTAAAGAGATAAAGGAAGTCACGTCGGCGATTGATAAGAGATGGAACGTCAGCTTGAGTGGCCAAATCATGTGGACGGTTGGGCAACTACCTATATTCATCGCCATGGCCGAGGTCATACGGCAGAAATGCGGCGCTCATGATGGTCTGGTAGGTATGGTGGTCGCAGCCGTCAAAGGCGAAGGCACAACGATGACAAACGAGCTCGGGGAAACCGTTGCGCGTGTAACGCCTTCTGCATATTTTGAGCCTTCGCTGGCAACAGAGGGGGTACTCTGGTTCCAGGATCTACTTGTTCCAGATCCTACAGGTGCCCTCCCATTCATTGCATCAGCCATCATGTTCGCAAACATCTACACCTCGAAGAATAGTGTCGAAAGCACTAAAAATCGGAGGTGGCCCGGTATACTTCGAAGGACTTTACTCTGGGTGGCTCTATTGATCGGCCCCATGTGTCAGCATCTACCTGCCGCACTGATGCTGTACTGGTCGTCGAGTACAGCCTCTGTCATGCTATGGAATCTCTGGCTGGACAGAAAGTACCCAGCACCAAGAGGATTCACGGCGTGTAAGAGACCGCTTATCATGCCACCACCACCTGTTTCGAAAGGGCGGAAAGTGTGAGGTCTTGCCAGTGTTGTACATTGCCATGAGCCTTGAACTACCATCGAAACACTTCACTGCCACAGATGAATCTTAAGAGAGCATTTGGGTGAGGAGACAGGCGGCGCAGGAAACGTCTGAATCAGTAGCTTACAATGGAGTCACTCGCATCTTGTTGCCTCGACCTTTTCAGTGTGTCTTGGAGGCTGTGGTCACTATCAGCAGGTCCGGGTATACGGTTTCTCACCACAGATGCTCACAATATCCTCTTTACGGAGTAGGCTGCCTGTAGGTCCCGGTCTTTGACCGACAGCTTACTGCCTCTGAGAAATGGAAGGTCAGCATGATAGTTGCAGAGATGGAAGAACACGGCTTTTCCTACCTAACTCGGAGACACGACAAAACACAAACCAACCGATCTATGAACGCCAGAACAAACATCCAGGCTGTATCCGAACAAGTCTCAACCCCCGGTTTCTACTCAACAACAAATTCGCCAGTCTCGATCTCGGCATCTACGTGAGTTCATTTGATGTGAGTACGATGTTGAGCATATCGGCATACTTCGGCATACTGGGGCATGATTGTACGCTAGATTGAGGGGTTGTGCGTATAGTAATCACCTAGAACTCTGCGACCACCCCAAGTGGGGGATGGCCTATGTACAGAAAAGTTTGTGGTTTTGCATGTTTCGAATCAGACAATACGCAGGAAGGCGCCGTGTCGCATCTGCTTGTTACGCCGTAACAGAATCCTGCAAATTGTTTGGGAGTACATTGTTTCAACCAAAAGCCAAGAAATCAAGCTTTGCGCAGTCATGAATTCCGCAGTGCAAATGATCAAGGGGGTGTTCAGCTAACTGCTCTTCAACATCTCGAAAATGCGCTAGCGGTTTAGTATGACCTGGCACAGGGGCCAAGGATCTAAGATATACCTGCTCACTCCAAGGCGAGCTGAGGTCGTAAAACCCTCAAAGCATCCATCGTATGATGCGCCAGCTGATAAGTGATAGGAATGCAAGAGCGTTGGTGATGCACCTGTACCTGTTGGTCGTGACTTGGGGCCCAGGTGTTTCGAGATGACATGATGTTCACCGTAGAACATAATAACGGCATCACTGCTGCAGATGTTCAGAAGTGGTCCAGAGGACCAACATACGCCCCCTCCCGAGAGTCGACTGTTCTGGAATTCACTGCCAGTTTGATCTCGATCTGAATCGAGCCACGTGAACGTCCTCCAGGGTTACTAACCGGAACATACCGAGCCCGCTCGTTGCCAAGTCGCATGCCCATGGTAAGCGAAGTGGAAGCTGCTGGAAGGACAAAGCAGACGGCGATGACCATATGCTGAATAGATCCAGGTGCTGAGGAAAGTATTACCGGATGTCACCGCCTGGAATTGATTGGGCATAGTGTATCAGCTCGCTGGCTGTGATTCGATGTGGGAGGGTTGTCCGGCTAGAATTTCTTCCCCGCGTCGAACTTCGCAGAGCACCTGCATCGACGTCACGGCACTCTGCAACATGGGAACGACAGCTGCGTCTCACACCGTGAGGAGGCGGGCATCGCGTACTACAACTGTACTGAATAGACCATTCTAGACTCGCAACCCTGGCGCAGATCGTATGATAAAACTGGGCGCTGCGAGATTACCAGCAGTTTGGCCATTCAAGTGGCGGTTATCATGGCTGCAAGAAGGCCATGAAAAAAGTCTTGTCACCGGGGTTTGGTTGGAGCTGAGGTTTTGGTGTGACAGTAGTTCAGCGGGTTGCTTCTCCGCCGTCTTCGCTGCGCGCCCGAGCTCGGAATCTTCTAGGCGCAGCGCAATCAAGCCTACCGCAGTCTCTGGGAGCTGGCAAAAGCCGGTGTGTTGCCCGTTGATCGTTCGATATTCTGCTTCAACCCGATCACCGGCACCATCACTAGCCAGGATACCAAGAGAAGGCTGATGACAGAGTGACGACAGGACGAATAGCCCTTGAATATATACTGCCATAAGACTTCGCCGAACCTGAGTGACTAGGAATAATCGCCCTCCCACACAACTCCGCGGCATCCAGACACCCAGATGGACTTCTCTAATCTGCCTGCCTTCCCTGTGGCCGCGAATAACCCAATGTACTCTCCCAACAGCGATGCCTTCCCATCACCAGACGAAATCGACGCTTACCTCACGGAGTCATATCCCGCACTTTCCGACTATGGTTTCAATACCTACGACAGCAGGAGCGGCCAGTGCTTCAACCGATCCATCACGCCAGGGGCCCGAGATGTCAATTGGAGTGCACCGGCACCCAGCAGCTACGTCAGCACACCATCACTTGTCAGTGCAACGAGCGCAGGCGGTGAAGCTCCTCTGAACGCATGGCCGAATTACAGCTCAACGCCCTTGAGCTGCCCAGCCGATTTCCAACACGCCTACACTGCAACCGACTTCCCCAACGGCTATCCGTCCAACCCCTCTCCCTTACCGACGCCGCCCACTGGCCACGGCAGCCCAATATCCCTATCGCCCACCGCACACCACGGCATCTCTCCCGAGGACACCTCACTCAAGCCACCTGCTCCACGCAAACGAGGCCGACCTCGCATCCACCGCCCCGCCTCTGAGCCGACCGCGACTACTACCGCCAAAATCGCCCGGACACAATGCATGCCCCACACCGAAGTCGAGCGCAAGTACCGCGAAAAGCTCAATGCAGAGCTAGAGCGACTACGTCGGGCTGTGCCCATGTTACCGCAGAGTGATGCCACGGATACAGGCGCAGTGAAGCCCAGTAAGAGCATGGTGCTGGCAGTGGCCATCGACTACATTAAAGAGTTGGAGCGACAACGAGATGCAGCCGTCGAAGAGGTAGAGAGACTAGGAGGCAAGATGAGGTTTGGAAGGGCGGGGGTTAGGAAAAGGGAGGATGGGGATGCTTGAGCGGTGGCGTGATACTTTTGTAGTAACGCCGAGTGGTCATAACGGCGTCATGACAGGCACTGGGGATCGCACGATGGGCGACCATGACTCTCAAAGGTCGACTTTGGCTTCTCGGATCTTTCTTCGAATTACGGCCTTCGCATACGAGCTCAGTCTCGTACTTTGGGTATACATAATGTTTGGAGTTCACGGTATTTTACAAGGTGGGGAGGGATGGTTGCAGAGCGTGGCTGGTACACGCTGCATGGTACACAATATCTTGGGCACGATGCAGCGGAATTGCGTACCGCCACTTAACATTCGGATACACGATTAGATACCCAGGTTATTGTTAGTTTAGGGGGTCGCGCTCTTATTGCGCAGGGTTGCGGATAGACGGCAGTGATGCACTGCAAGAAGACAGTTCAATGTAATATATACTTCAATTGTTTGTTCTCCAGCTGCAGCCATGTATGCTCATGAGTGCAAAGAGACGGATTCAGACGGCAGGCACTCAATCGTATGTTACTCTAATCACAAGCCGTAGAGTTTACGTAGTGTTGGACGATAGAGACTGTAGCATGCAGTGTACATCTCCTCTGTCGCAGCATCAATCGTAACTGTAAAGTAAAGAGAGCCAACTCGCTGCATCTGACCGAATCAAAACTTCTGTCTACCAGACTTCTCCGAAGCACTTTAAAGAAATCGAGAACGATGTCGCCTGGATTTTGACTTTCAGCCATCATCACACTTCCCACGACTCTGGAGTTGATCGCCCATGATAGGCTGTATCACGCATAGTCTCTCCAAAAGTCTAATTGCTTGCGTTGATACGAAGATACCTAGGTACACGACCTCGGGAAGTCCGCTGTTCTGGAGGAGCAATGTCGCAACACGTGATATTAGTGGGTTCGTTGGAAGGTACCTAGGTATGTAGTGCATCTTTGTCACGACGACTACTATATTCCACACCATATTTGGCTTGAGAGCTCATCGTTTACTGCTAGATACAAGAAGAAATACTATGCTCTGATCGTACCTGCCTTAATACGAGCATGTCTTCTGGTATTCACACGCCACGAAACACTAAAATTTCCATTACGATGAGTAACTGTTTAAGGAAACATACGTTAGGTACAACCTTAAGACAGACTACCGATAACACGGCTGACCGATCAGTCACCATGCACATAAGCAAAGATGACACATACAACTCCTCCGCCTCATCCCGCTTCACCCATTCCTCCCTGCGCCAGTACGTGTACCAATCGGTCTCGTTCCCTAAAAGCCTCCAAGAACGCTTCTAACACATATCAAGCACATCACGCACCCCAAGACACGCATGCCCAGAATAATACCTCCGAAATCTCACATCATTTTATAGTGCATGTAGACAGCCGGCTCACGCAGCCATCTCATGTCGTATCCGTATAGCACTCTCCGGTCTCAACAACAAGACCCAACACGGACGGGCTCACCTCGTTGCAGGGAAAGCCGTTTGTGGGAACATGAAATACAGTGCAGCAAAGAGGGTTTTTGTTGGGATAGCTATACAAGGCAATCAAACGAGGATACTCCGCGATAGATGAAGAGCTGGAGCTAGCTTCATACAGCTGGGGTGCATAGATCACAGTCCCACGCTTTCCATGGCCGGTAGGAGGGGAAATGGTAAAGCGGCGCATCACTTTCCACACCGTCGCAAACGAACGGGGGTCGTGGAAAGAATACCGCAGAAAGTGGAGTGAGATGTTCGTCAAATCGTGGAGAAATGTGTTTGATGTGCAAAAGTGTTGGATGGAGAAATGAGTGTATTGATTCATCTAACATGAGATGGAAGCTGCCTATAAGCAGCAGTGTGCTTGCTACATACAAAGGAGTGTGATAGCAAGCATAATAAGTAAGCTGATTGTACATGAGATGAAAGCTGATGGAAACCAACAAAAAGTGGTCGATCGTGGGAGGTAGGTAAGCGCGATGGATCTACACACGGGTTCCGTTCGTTCCAGCCCCTCTTCCCCCCATCGATCCTTCCCCTCCCCGCGTACTTCCACTCCACCAATTCCACCAAACCGTTTACGGAGACAAGACACTAGCGCGATATTTCGAAGCCACCTGTACCGGCCTTGGGCGTTTTACGCGGGCACGAGTCACACCGTTCTCACACCACTCGACTGCCTGCATGCGTATCGATGGCGCTGGAGATAGCCGAGAAAGACGAGGCGGGGAATCTGGTGGCGCAGTACGTTACTTCTGCGGAAGGCAAGAGGGTTGATGTGATTGTACGTTGTATGCACGTCTCGTCTTACTTCGATATGAGTTATTTGGTTTACTTGCGTTTGATATCTCGGTGTTTGTACTGCAAGTCTGACTACAGAGACGCGTTGGTGGAAGATGTGTGTACGGTCACTGACATAACATCTCCACCATTTTAGTACCCCAAAGAAGCAAAGAGCTATGCGCAACGCCTTCTTGATGTCTTTCTGCCAGCGGGATATCCGCAGAGTGTGACGGAGGATTATATCCATTATCAGATCTATGTATGTTTCAGTGAGACCTTTCCTCTTCTGATGCACGATGGTTGGAATATCAGGGACACAGGAAAGCTGATGAAGATATGTTGATGTAGGACTCGCTTCAAGCGTTTTCGTCGTCGATTGCGGGGATGTTGGCTTCGAGAGCTGTTCTGGAAGGTATGTTTTCATGTGCGGTATGAAGTATACTCAGCATATGATTCCCCCATCCTTGGGTAAAGCAGGTACTCTGCGTGGTCAACAAGGTTTTCAAGAGAAAGGACTGTACATCACAAGCACCTAACATGGAGACACTCCATCACGATGACACCCAACAGCAAATCCCACCACCACCCATCTAACCACCCACCCAGGCGTCGGCGTCGGCGACTCAACCGCCTCCCCCACCTCCGCCCTCCTCCTCTCCGTCCTCCAAGAGTCCACCGGCCGCATCGCTACGATCCTCTTCGCGCACCGTCTCGGCACAGCCCTCGAGCCTGAATGCAAAATGTACCGACTAGCCGCCGATGTCTTCAACGACACAGCCATGGTGCTCGACTGCTTATCGCCCGCCTTCCCCAAACCCATCCGCGTGGCTGTGTTGAGCTTCTCGAGCTGTCTGAGAGCCCTATGTGGGGTTTGTGCAGGAAGTGCGAAAGCGAGTTTGAGTGCGCATTTTGCGAAGAAAGGGAATTTGGGGGAGGTGAACGCTGTGAGTTTGCTGTTTTCTTTTCTTCTTCACTATGAAACAGCGAGCAGAAAAGTAATCGGACGACTACAAGCACGTGTCTTACTCCGAGTACAATGGGTGTTGAGCCATGTGCTATCATGCCCAATACACAGATCTGCATAGATGGCTTACGACTTATGCTGTGGGGCACAGTGTAGGTTGGGTACACATGACCGTTACTGACTAATGCTTAGAAAGACTCGAGCCAAGAGACAGTCATCTCTCTAATGGGTATGCTTGTAAGTACCGCCGAGCTTACACAGTGCTGATGTGATTACTAATACGCCGGCTAGGCAGGCAGCCTGGTAGTATCCTACATCACCTCACCCTTTGCGACATGGAGCACACTCATCTTCCTGCTAGGAATACATCTAGCGACCAACTATGCCGCTGTGAGGGCCGTCAGCATCGCATCCCTCAACAGGCAGCGCGCCAACATCCTGTTCAGCAACATGTTCCAGCACGACGTCGTGCTGAGTCCGACCGAAGTGTCTAAGCGCGAGCGCATCTTCCACAGAGGTGACGTATTGCGCTGGTCCGACGACGAAGTGCTCGGCCAGTGTAAGATTGGCGTATCTCTCCAGGATATGCTAGGCCGGATAGGGGAAGAAAATAGGCAAACGGGCTCGCTCGCTCTGCGGACTATACAAATCTCCGAACTACTAACCGTCTTCGCCAGCGAGGCATACATCATGTGTCCCGCTGCATCCGCATCTTATATCTCCATTGCACTGAAAGCAGAGTGTGGACCGACGGATCATCTCAAAGCATGGGCTCACGCACTGTTGCTTGCGAAGAGGGCCCGAGATGGGAATGGGCACTCGGGTGATCAGCCCAATGAAGCACTACCTCCGACCAAGGATCGCCTGGAGGCTGAGTTGAGGCAGACGTTGGAGGACGTCCGGGCGACGTTTGAAAAATATGGGGACGAGATGAGGGGGAAGGGATGGGATCTAGATGTCGCTGCGCTCGAGACGCAAGCCGGGACACGGTTGCAGATGGACATGCAGAAAGTGGGATGACGATGTAGCATGGACCTCAACTGCCTTGTCAAGAGCCGTGAAACGAACGACGTGAAAAACACCAAGGAGTTACCTAGACGGGCGTCTTGTTGGGGAGACAGGTAACCCGATCGAAGCACTCGCGTGTTGCAGGCTGTCGTGGGATCCAGGGCAAACGTAACCAACGTCGCTTGGTAACGACGTCAGCCGATTGACTCATCGGCAACGGCATAGGATCGGCACCAGCATGTACGGCTGGCCCTATGTTTGAAGCAGTTTGATAACCACCAGCATGTCTTTTACCTCTTTCCTTTTTCTGCTCACTGTGTGTGCCAGCGCAGACGCATCAGTGCATCGCTCAAACAGTGGTTACGGTCCACATCGGTCCGGTTTCATGTACACCTGGCGTCTCTTCGGTGGGCGGTCGCCGGTTCCGAAGCAATCAATGCTTGAGTCCAAGCTCAACACCACAATGTGGAGTGTGGACAGGCAATGCTGTGCAAAGAATGGAAACTAAGGCTAAATGCCATGAATCTCGTGATTGCTCGAAATCATGACACAGGGCCAACATGGCCTTGGTAGTGAGGATTTCTTCAACTCAACGTCGGGAAGCTGGTACCGAGGGCGTGGTCGTTGGGGCTCTAACAAGCAAAAAGGCGCACATTATGGACGCCACCATGCAAGGAGAGGACATGTCGTTCCGACTTGACTGAGGCTCGAACAGCAGAGACTCCGCCAAGGTCAGCGTGTAGTTTCAGCGATCGCGGTGCTCCGACGGAGCGTGGGATGCGGCTAAAAAACGAAACCCCACGAAGCGGTGAAGCGGGTGAATCACGACTACGCGAACAAAAAATGGCCCACTGGCTGCGTCATGCTGTGTTCCTGAGGCTCCGAGCTTTTTTTGTTGGCGGCTCAAAATTTTCGGTGCGGAATGAATTTGGGTGCGCGTCGGCGCGAGCTGAGTCGTTAGCCGGCTACTGGCGGTGCTGCAACGACACAGCAGTCCTTCTAGAAGCGCCACATTTGCATCTTCACGAAGCACGGCAGGGTCAGCGCTTGGAGAAAGCCCGAAGGCGCCCTCAACAGGTGGCAGCGCTACATCGAATGGGTGAGCGATTTCCGAGGTGAAGGCTTCGAGGGTGAAGTGTTACAGGCGTTTCGCTGGACATGCAGGAGGTTGACGGAGATCCTGGATCGACGCGCAGGGCAGGTGTGGAAGCACTAGGCAGGTTCGGGTAAATTTCTAGAAGGATGAAATCGTTCTAGAAGATTTCTTCGGTGGCACGGTGAAAGAAAGTGCGATGGGGCAGGGATTTGGGGGTGGGTGGCCTGATGGTAGCGCTGGTGGAACGTCAGCATTCCCTCGTTTGAGACAGCGAGACGCTGGCGGGATAGCTGGCAGGATAGCAGGGCAGGATTGTGTAGCCGGGTGGATAGAGCAGCGGGCACAAAAGAAAGAGCATGCGTGAGTATACACCTACAGTCGTTGGCACGGTGTACTCATGCACGGTGTGGGAGTGTTTGCTAAGAAGGGTGCTAGAAGGCTAGAGAGGCGCCGGCGCATCCCAAGTGGAGGGCGGTTGGCTGAGGGCGGGTTTGCGTCAGTAATGGGCGAGATTGGGGAGCACTTGGAGGACGAGTCTGACCCCAGGCGTAGGGCGAGGGCCAAGCGTGTGGCCGTGCGGGCGGGCGTGGTGTAAGACATCAGGAGCGTGATTGGCGAGGACGACTTGATCAAGTACCGTTGCGCGTGCACATCACGCGGCAGCAGGTGACACTGGGCATGGTGTAGTTCAATGTGGGCTGTACATGCTGTGACAAAGCAAGCAAGAGACATGGGCGGGCGTGCGATCGATCTACTTTCCTTTGTTGCGTAGGCAGAGTCATAGGGTGGATTAGTGGGCTCCGCCGTCGTTTGCGGCGTGCTGGGAGGTGCTCAGGCTGCGCATTCCACGTCCCTGGGACCTCCACTGTGCACTCGATTGCCATCCGTCTCGCAACTCGTACGGACTGGTAAGGAAAGGCGACGGAAACTGGAGAAGGGTGGTCTTTATCGTCTAAAAGGGCCGTTTGGGGCAGGCTACGCCCAGTCGGCTGCTAGAGAGGGCTGCGGCGACGCACAAGGCTGGGGGGCCAAGGTAATCTATGCACGCAGCTAGTGCCGGGCGTCGCAACCAGACGGGCATGGCTGGTGAGATAGAGAGAGCGACCGTGCTGGCTGTCTGCGGTGCGACCTCCCACGCCCTCGGAAAGCGACGCGTCGTTCGTCGGCGGCGCTGATGTCGCAGTGTGCAGTGTCGCAGTCTGTCACAGCAGGCGGCCAGGTCGGGCAGGGCAGACGGCCATCAGCACCCATCGGCGTGGCAACACTGAGCAGCAGGGGGCGGTTTCGGCCAGGATGATGATGCGGGCGTGCGTCTTCCAGAAGACATGGGCGGCCAATGCCCAGGTAGCGCGTGCCGCCGCTTTTACGGCAGCGAGCCCTCAGCCATGGGCCCTCGATCCTTCGTGATGGCCAAACCGCTGGTGGGCCCTGGCGTGTGCGTCCTGACTGAGCTTTCCGCCCAAGCATTGACCCAAGACTCCCTGACTCTCCACTGCCGCTTGCTCAAAACCACGCTGAGCCGCACCTGTCCATAGCCTGCTGTCCATAGCCACGTCCTGACGCACTTCGGTCTCACCACACGCCTACCCACACCAACGTATATACAGCACCCGCCTACCACTCCCACCCACCCCCGATGCTGCCGCCGCCGGAGCGATAACTTCCCACCACCGCCCAAGACACTAGGTTCGCCCGAACCTCGTGCCGCCAACGCCAAGCTGGCGCAACAACTGCAACTCTGTTCCTGTGAAGGCTTCGACGAGCAGAGCAGGAAGGACGCCCGCCGTGTTTACAAGCAGTTCTGGCGCAGCGTCATGGTCACACGCAAATCCGGAAGCCACGCCCTGTCCATCCGCACCGACTCGACCGCCTCGTCCTCGCCCACGCCCTCGCTGCAAGACTTTGATGCCCGCGACGTCAAGATGGCCCTGTCCGACTGCCAGCCCGCCCCGCTGACCGTCTCGATACCCAAGAACATCCCCAGCCCGCAATGCCGGAAACCCAACCTACAAGAGATCCTCAGCAACACCGCCCCGCCGCCCTACACCCTCACCTCCTTCATGGCCTTCCTGTCCCAGAACCACTGCCTCGAGAACCTCGAATTCACCATGGACGCCTCCCGCTACCGCAAGCACTACTCCAAGATGGTCAACCGCCATCCGGGCAGCCCCATCTCGCCATTGTCCGAAGAGTGCGGCTACGTGCTGATGCTCTGGCGTCGATTGATTGACGCCTACATCCGCGAGTCCGGCCCACGAGAAGTACGTTCTTTCAATCCTACACACCGAACCTCCACTAACAGCCGCAGGTCAACCTTCCCGCCGAAGTCCGCGACACTCTACTAAGCCTCTCCGACTCATACGTCCCGCCCCACCCATCGGCATTAGACAGTGCCGTGGCCAAGATCAACGAGCTCATGGAGGAGAGCGTACTGGTCTCGTTCCTCAACTCGGTCAGCCCACAGAGCGCTCACCCCGCCAGCCACGAGAGCTACGCTGGTAGCAACATCTCGCGTTCATCGACCCGCAGCTACGAGGAGCGGAGTATGCTCTCCCGCTCGTCACAGCCGCCCGTGCCTGCCCACCAACGAGCATCGGCACCGTCGTCACTGACGTCTGGCTTCATGGCCTCGAGACCCTTCTCACACTCTCGGTTCCACTCTCAGCCGACCTCTTCCGGTCAAGCACACACCCGTGTTACATCTGGCTACACTAGTGGCAGCGATGCATTGACCGATGACTCTGGCAGTGCCAGTAGCCCATCGGGCATGAGCGACCCGCTTACACCCCCCGGCACACCGCCCATGAGCGACTACCCCATGGCCGACTTCCATCAAGCCTACTACGACACTGGCTCAAATAGCGGCACACCCAGCCCTCGCAACAGCCGAGGAGAGCACAATGGCCTCGCCAGCGCTACCCGGGATAGCTGGAAGCGAGTAAGCAGCAAGCTCTGGCCCAAGAAGAAGAGCGGCGGCCAGCTCCGAGACGACGAACCAGGCGTTGTCGAGGGTGGTCTATTCTAAGCTACCCACTCACCTCCTACATTCTTTACCATCACACCGACATTCCGTCATTCAAAAGCGACACGATTACGAAGATGCAATCAGAGCGATTTGCATCACCTTGACCTTGCATACTGGGTTGCATAAACACCGGCGTAACTGATTTCCCCACCCGAGTCCACGGGCATGCGAAGGCGCAACTGGCTCACACGACCCGGCGAGGTTGTTTTCGGCATTTCCACTTCCTTCTCAACTTCAAACTACTAGACATTTTGCGAAACGGCGTTGCGAAACTTGGCGGCCACACTTCCTATATCCACTTGCAGTGGCTAGGCCCAGGCGTTACATTTGACGTTTCCATCTATCAAGAGCATATCACGAATGACCTACTGGGCGGACGGTTTTGAATATTTTTTCTGTATCATTACGGCTACTTTTCACTTTGCCCCAAAGCGGGCGTGCTTCGGATTTGTTTCCGAGGCGCATTGACTGTTCATAGGCATGGATGGGGTTCGGATTGGAGTAGATACCAAAGCGCATGAAGCGCTAGAATCACGACTGTTTACCATTGTTGGTCAACAACACACAAAAACTGTTTCAATGCCGTTCCCTTGCTGTGACGTTCTTACTCAAACAGGCAATGTCGGATACAGGTTGTCTACGCCATCGCCGTGGTACCTCCGACTCCCTTTCTGTACCAACATATCGGAACTCCACTGCCTCCACATCAACAAATCGCATCTTACACAGCGCCCACCAACCTGATGCCTTGCATCGGGCGCTCTTTCGTCCGGGACAGCATGTAGATCTTCTCGTGCGCATAGGCTACGCAAGGAATCGCCGAACGCAAAGCAAAGGGATATCCTCAATCAATCCCTTTCGCCGTATAACCGGGACGCCCATCGGTGGTCA